TTGGTGGGGGTTTCTGCCCATGTGTGTATGCTTGTTTCAATATGTTTGGCGAGTGTTGTTGGACGGAGAACGAGAAGACCACCATGGCAGCCAACCATGGTGGCTGCCGCCATTTCTACATTTCCACCACCATCAGCCACCGTGTGTGAGTGGATGTGTGTGTTTTTTATGGTGTAAATATGCATGTGTATTAGGGCATGATGTTGTAAGAGCAATATTTGGCCGGAAAATCAAGGAAAATCCCCCAACACCACCATGAGGTGGTGGCTACTGCTCTGAACTGTCGTCAACCACCACCGCCGGAGGTGGCAATGGGTGGTGCCCGACCTAGTGAAACCTTAATCAGCCTAAAATTTTAACCTTGGACCTAATTGGCATGTGTGGGATGGAAACCCTAATTAGGGTTTAGAAAAGACAAAATTGCACAAATGGTCCTTGTGGTTTGCTGAAAATTGCTACTTTGGTCCAAAAAGTTTTGGACTAGCACCACATGTCCAAAGTTTTCATTTTGTTGCGAGTTCGGTCGAATTTACTTTAAACTTTTTTCTAACGATGATTTTACCTTTTTTTTTGTTTTTTCAGTTTATTTATTTATTTAAATATTTTTATGATTAAAAGAAAATACTCTCTCTCTCTCTTTCTCTCTCTCTCTCTCTCTCTCTCTCTCTCTCTCTCTCTCTCTCTCTCTCTCTCTCTCTCTCTCTCTCGTTCCGGACTCGATTTCCCCATCATCATCTTCATCTAGAAACTCGATTTCCCCATCCTCATCTTCTTCTTTATCATTAGCTCGTAACGTGACCATCATGAGCCACCATTACCACCGATCTCTAGATTCTTACTCCATAGGTCAAATATGCAAACAAGATCTACAAACAAGATCTGGTTCAAGGTGGAGAAACCAAACATTCAAATGGTGGAAATTGAGCATGTCGTCTGGTTCAAGGTTAGATTTACGAACGAAGGTTGAGATTTACGAACCCACAAATCCGAATTTTACTTCACATTTTGCAAATCACTAGTATTGATTTCTCGATTCCAATCGTGTGCAGATGAGTTTTCATTTTTGCAACTCGTTTTAGAGTTTGTCAACACCGATTTAGAAGATGCTTAATGTAAGATCTGGATGATTTGGGCAAGAAAACTGATCGATTTGACGTTTAAACTTGGAGATCCACCATTTTTTTCTTGATTCGAGTGTCGATACGGTTAGAAACGACAAATCTGGTTCGAGTTTCAAATCATTGGTTCAGAAACGACAAACCCTAGACATTCTTCACCATTAACAACGGAGATGAAAACATCCGAGAAGGGTTTTCTATCCTATAGACGGAGAGGGGTGAACTCATGAAAAAACCCATATTTTGTGTAAGGTTTTTGTTTTGGGGATGATTTTTAGGCGTAGATGAAGTAGAAAAAAATCAGGTGGAGATAGAGGTAGTAGATGGTGGTGAAAGCAGTCTGTGGTGGTGACAGACGTTGGTGGTGGCGGATGGTAATCTAACGATGGTGGTGGGGAAGATGTTCTTGAGTTCATGAATGATGGTGATAACCAATTTTCTGGAAAAATTTAGATGTGTGTGTGTGTGTGAGAGAGAGAGAGAGAGAGATGTATTTTTTTTCTTTTAACTATAAAAATATTTAAATAAATAAATAAAATTGAAAAAAACAAAAAAGAAGGGTAAAATCGTAATTAGAAAAAAGTTTAAAGTAAATTGGACCAAACTCGCAACGAAATGAAAACTTTGGACCTGTGGTGCTAGTCCAAAACTTTTTGGACCAAAGTGGCAATTTTCAGCAAACCACAGGGACCATTTATGTAGTTTTGTCTTTAGAAAACCCTAATCTTTGAGACTTTTGTTTGGTACTTGTCGGGACCCACATTTTGCACTGTTGGATTCGAGTTATGAATTATGCCCGACAACATTGTATGATTGACCTAGTAGAGTGATGGGCTTAATGGGTTAAGTGTTCTTACTTAACCCTAATCATCATTTTATGTGAAACCCTAATCGTGTTTGGGCTTCGAGTTGGGACTTTGTTTTGGGCTTTGGTGATTATTGATAGCCATTTGAGAACAAGTGTATGGACTAGGAAAAATTGGACGGGCTTTAGGGTAAGGCCCATGTAAAGGATTTGGGCCTAATTTGGAAAATTGGACCATAAATTAGGCCTTGGTTGATTGTTTGGCTTTTGGGCCTTTAGAGTGTGAGTTTAGGCCTTGGGTTTAGATCAAGCTAGATTAGGGGTAAAATGGTCTTTTTACCCCAAGTATGGATTTATGGTTATGCATTGGAACCCAATTATAAATTGGGTGTTGTTTTGATGTTGACATTTCGTGGATTTGTCAGCAAGCAGCCAGAGTTTTATCCACAGGACTTCAACAGTTCGGGGTGAGTCTCCTCACTGAGTTTAGCGGATCGAAGACACCAATGTTGGTCCATGATATATATGTTAGGATGTTAGATGTCTATGTGACTCTTGCATATGTTGTATGATAGTATGCTTATTGGGCGAGGCCTGATACCAAGTGGGGTCTGATGAGTAGGTTGTATGCTAGTTATTGGTATCTGATTTTATGCTTACCAGGCGAGGCCTGATGCCGGGAGGGGCTCGATGACTGTATGGTGTGTTGTAGTCTTTTTGATTATTGCATGTGCTAGTGTGGTTATGTTTCTATATGATTATATGTTTATATGGTAATGTGTATCGGGCGAGGCCCGATGACTGGAACATATGCTAGTGCTTATGATCATTCTATGTGTTAGCATGATTATGTTACATTTGTATGTGTCTGGTGGGCAAGGCCTGAGAATAACAGATTTGTAATCCAAGCAAGGCTCGATGCCGACGAGGCTCGATGTCAAGCGACGCCCAATGTCGAGTGAGACTCGAGACTGGGTGAGGTCCGATGGAGGGGGGGGGGGGCGCAATATGTGATTTATGTATGCATGGTATGTGGTCTCTTGGGGAATTCACTAAGCTTCATGCTTACGGTTTTCAATTTATGTTTCAGGTATTTCAATTTTCAATGGAAGAGCTCAGGATGGTTATAGGGCACACACCATATGTTTCCGCATTATGTGGTTTACTCTGATTTGATAATGTTTGATAATCCATGATCACTTTAGTTTCATGGAAATGATATGTATTAATAATTTATTTATCTAAAAACAAAAAATTTTATGCCATTATTTTGGGATGTTACATTGGGAACATTATAATTATTGGGAAGAACAATACCACATCATTCCCCCTCTATAATGGGCAGGTTATCTTTTCTAGTGCTACTATAGATAAGGGCATGCTTCATCTTAACATGGAACTCAAACTCTTAGCAACAGTGGAATCCATCACGTGTCATGCTTCTAAAGCCCTCCAGATGATAAAGTTGAGATTGTAGATCAAAGGAAGAAACTTGGTGATGTCCTACCTAAATTTAAGTGTGTTGTTGGGGTAGTGAAGAAACTATGGGAGGTGTCTGGTTCTAAGTATTGGTCCCCGTGGGTGATTATGGATGAGAATGTGAAGTTTGTAGGTACCATTGTTGATGTTACTAATCTTATGAAGGTGGTAGCATATTATATGGAGCCTGTATCCTCTGTGGTAAAGAGTTATCTCACATCAAATACAAAGGAGCACGAAGGTTGTATATATGTGGTGATTGTTGTGGTGACTTCAGATTGTAGCAAGGCTGAGAGCAAGATAAAGAGATCTTTTGGAAGCTTTGGATGTTGTGCGTCCTTTTCATTCACCTTGAGGATAATATGAAAGTTTGAGCCGCCAATATTGATAAGCCCCAACTTTACTGGTTTATGGCCAAGGGGTATTTTAGTACTTTTGACATTATTTCCGGGTTTTACTTTAGTGGTAGACTTGGTTGGTGGGGATAACATCGTTTGTGTCTGTTGAGCTGGAATTCCTCCTTGTCTTATCCTAGTCTTAGTAGTATTTATATCTTGTTAAAAGGTAGAATGAGGTAACTAAGAATTAATTTGTTACAGAAGAGGAAATTATGTAAATTAAAATTTCTTTAAGATTTCTATAAAAGCATTTAGTTTTAAATCATATTCTAAGAAGCAAATATATCCGATTTCCCTTCTCTCCTTTGTCAAGCTCATCTACCAATGTAAAGCTTCAAGGAACTAAATTGAACATAAATTTATATTAAACATCAAGGAAAATGAGTGAGTTAGGATAACCATCAATATTCATAAGTGAGTTACAATTCCTAATTTAATTTAAATAACATTTAACAAACGGTTATACTTGACATGATGCTGATAATCCAAGGGCCATCCAAATAATACTACAATATGTAAGCATCAAACCTCTTGAATTCCGTCTTTGACTTATGCATTATGACTAAGATGGATGCTTCCAAGGTCACACGTTTATCTTTCTTTTCTTTTTTTCCTTTACCAAAATAAATATGCAATCTTGGACACACTATCTCAGCCATGAGCTTTGACTATTTCACATAGTTTAAATTTATTTTATACTAATTTACATTATATTGTGTTATATTTTTTTAATTTATTTTACAAATTTACGTTCAGTTTATTATATTTGTAACTGCAAAGTAATATTTATGATTTTTTTAGTGTCTTTTTTATTTTATTATGAATTATATTGTTTTATAATTTTATATATACCAAAAATGATAAAATTAAAAATGTTACAAAAATAAACAAAATAAAAAGATAAAAACATATAAATAATGTTTTAAAAATAAAAATAGGTGGTTAATAAGAGAACTATAAATATAACATTTGAATATATAATAATGATATGTAAGCAGAGACACAAATCAACGATATAATCTTTTTTTATTTGACACATAATTCAATGTGAACCTAGTTGAGTTCAACAACCTAGAAGAGCCGTTAACATCATTGTATCTTGGAAAATAAACGTCTAGCGGGGGAGGGGGGTCAAATTTATTTTAAGAAAACCGTGTCAAACACAGTTTCTCGTTTTTCAAGTTGATCTTTATGTTTTTTCTGGTTTGTTTTCATTCAAATGTTCTACAATATTTTGAGTGTCAACAGGAGCCAATTAGAACAAGAAACCACATTTAGTGAAAAGTATCTCATAATCTTCTACAGGTTTATATTTCCTCATCACTGACAACTAATTAATAACTACTTCCCTAGACAAATGTATACTTAGTGAGTTTGTAGCAAATGTTAATATCTGGTGGTGGTGATTATTATTCGGCTTTCTCTTACTGGCCAAACTGATTATGTGATGTGCTCAAAGCCTTTTGTTTATCAATTAGAATATTTGTATAAAAAGCTTTTCAAGTACAACCATACAAGTATGTATATGTCTTGTAGAGCGCATGTACCTACTGCATCTTTTCATGTACATTGACAATTTCCCACATGAGTTCTTGAAACGTACTTCAATATACATGTACCTAATGCATCTTTTCCTTATATGCTTCCAATATCTATCAAAGAACTCAGCAAATAACACCACCTTTGGATTAGTAGGCCATGTAATGTTTCAACGTCAATTTTTTGTTTTCCATGTCTATAGAAAAGTACTGTTCCCTATACATAAAATTTTAAAGACAAAGTTAAGTTGAACTTATGGTACTCAAATGCAAACAATATGAAAACAAAACTAACACAAAATAAACCTAGAAGTGTGGCAACTGTCGTGAAAGTCTGCATTTCTTTTATATTGTGTACATTCACCTCCAGTGTCAATTTCTGCAACTGAAACAAAGAAATAAAATCAAACAATGAATGTTAAATTCCAGAAAGAAATTAATGAGGCTATAAAGAATAATTCTGATCGATTTTATTTTTGCAGCATATAGAGACAACATGCTCTTCATCTGTAATACCCACATCGAAGCAATTCCAGTTTAATTATCTTTCCTAATTTTGACTTCACTTTTTGTAAAAGAGGTATGATTTCAGAATAGCAAACAAATTTTGTTTTTTTTAATGGAATATCCCGTTGAATGTTGGAATATGTAAGGAATCAATTAACAAAACCTTTATATGTTGGAATAGTATATGTAAAGAATCCATTAACAAGAAAGTAAATGAATTATTCTAATAATTATTTATAATCCTTGTTATTATTAGTAATTCATGTTGTGTTTACCTAATCATAATGGTAGAATTAAGGGGATAGTGGGAAACAAGGGAGGCAGATGGAAATGTCATTTTCTTAGAATTTGGTATTCAAAAAAGTAAATGTTAATGAGAATAATGCAACATAAAAAGTTGAGAATAAACTATGGAATAGAGAATAGTCCACAAACCCGTGGGTAGAGGTAAGGTTGCCATGAAATCTTGATAGAAGAAGGTGAATCATGTTGGATCATAAATGTAGTTTCATCCTCAAGTTCCTTGTCCCAAAATTCTGAGCAATCTGTTTTTTGCACCTCATCACCTTTAATTTTCCTAGGAACTAGCTCAACTCCAAAATTACTCTGAGCTGAAGCCAAACTGCAACCCATGTCTATGGAAAATGAAATCTTATTGCATGAGGAATTCCACCATGTGGTGTGCCTCAATGAACTAAAGGAAACATATCCCACATATGTCTTTGTTTCATGGTATTCAAGACCTTGTGCTTCATTAGACTCCTCACAAATCTCAGATAGAGAATCTTCATCTACCTCCCACTCGATTTTTATGTAAAGATATGGAGCATTTATTTTGGTGAGAAAGCATATTAAGAATCCACAAAAGTGATTACACCAATCATGTGGAAGATGCAGTACAAATGTTTTCCACCTAAAGAGCCTACCAACAAACCCCTTTGGAATCATCTGACGTTCAAGAGCAACACTGATAAAATGATCTTCAAGAGCCTTTCCCTGCAATTAATGGAAAACACATTCGTTTATGGTTATTATGTTTGGGTTTATATGATAAAGATTGAAATTCCAAAGGTAAGTAGAGTTGAACCTCGAGCATGGAGTCTAGTAATATGTCATCAACAAGTTTGTTCTCCCCCCAAAGTGAGACTTTCCACAACCATATACATTTTGAAATATCACCAAAGGTTTCAAGTGATCCACAATAATCCGCCTTAACAACAGCTATACTTGATGGAAGCTCTGACAATTTTGTAAGTTCTTTGCAGTATGACACGTTGAGCCATTTGAGTCGGGGAAGCAGCATGCGACTAAAACTTAATCGTGAAAACTTATTTCCTTCTAGATTGAGTTCTTCCAAGTTGGGTAAATCCCAAATGGCATAGTCAATGTCTTTATCTCCCACACTGCAGTATGAAAGATTCAACTTTCTTATATGGTTGTTCATGTTGTTGAGAGGTACGCAAGGCTCCTGTAAACTACATTCTACATCATCGAGGTCCTTATGTGGTTTCTTAACTTCTACAACACCACACATCCACCACGTAACCAAAATGTTTGTTGAAAGTTTTTTATAGGATGCAACTTCTTTCCCACCATTATCCAAATGAAGATATGGTAATTTGTCCATGTTTTGTGGGATCTCTATGAGCTTAACAAGTTTTGGGCAATGTGATACTGAAAGGGTCTCTAGTTTCTTTAGTCGGGTAAGGGGTGGAAATATCTTAAGATTGGCACAATATTTTATAAATAAGAAAGCAAGCCTTTTCAAGCGTCCTATGGATGGATGAATCTCTTTTAAACAGTGACATACATGAAGAGTGAATCTTTCTAGATTTGGAAGTCCATCAAAATCTGGTGTCTTGATTAGGTTTTTCAAATCAGCAAGTTCCATGATTTTCAAATTCGGCAAATGCTGTTGTATACAAGTGACAAGTCAAAAGTATATCAAGGTAACGGAAACAACAATAACAAGTATGCTTCTTAATGAGACCTCCACCAAGAAAAAGTCTGTTAAAGATTTTCTTTTATAGGATTCAACTTCTTACCCACTATTAAAAGGAATGAAAAACTAGAAATGGGGAGGTCAAACGAGAACCATTATGAAATCGAGAACATGAGAACAAGGTTTAATCACATGTGAATAGCGTAATTAATCACATAACTCAATCCAAATAACACTAATAACAAATAAAAGGAAGGTTATTTGGTTGACCCAAACTATGAACACTGCTACTTGGAGAAAGAAGACTCCTAACAAGCCTAATGTTTATAATTCATGTTGTTTAACAGTGCACGGCATGTGATGTAGAACTTACAACTCATACATCATATTTATTCCTAAAAATTTGATATTTCTCAACCAAAAAAATTACCTTGTAACCCTTCCAAAGTTGTTTCGGCGATATGCCATCCAATGTTAGACAACAAAGCTCACTTGGTAGAAAGTTACTAGGAAACGGACTCGCAAGGTCACCTCTCCAATAAATCCACCGAAGGTTTTTCATATTTGCAATAATCTGAGGAACAGGTTCTACTAGATCATAACTATTGCATTGTATTGCTTCAACCATGTCAAGTTCCTGTGACACAAACAAAATGGTGTCCGAGTTCATTTAAAACTGCTTCTTTATACATGTATCATGCAAAGCTAGCTTAACCATTACCTTCGTCGCATCCATAGCACATATTTTGAGAAGGTCTTCCTTCTTCCAAACTCTACTATGTTTTTCAGGATTTTTTGGGTGTTTCCCTCTAACAATGTAGTGTCCCATTTCTTGCACCAGATCATGCATATCAAACCTTCCTTTCGAAATAGTTATGAGAGCCTTTTCTATCAAAACCTTTATGCCTATAACAGGGTAAAAACCAAAAGCATGAAAGGTTGCCATTATCCTTTCATTTTTATACTCCCCTCTGAAGAAACATGCAATATCAAGGAACAACTCTTTCTCAACCGGTTTAAGTCCATCATAGCTGATTTTTAGCTTTTCCACAATATCAGACTCTGGGATCTCTTTCAGTCTGGCTAATGCACTCCTCCACTCAATAATGTCTTTGTCACACAGAAAAGAACCCAGAATCGTAAGTGCTAATGGGAGGCCACCAGCATAAGAAACCACATCACTTGAAAGCAGCACAAAATCTTTCATAGGTCTATAATCCCGGAGCGCATGCTTGCTAAAGAGATTAATAGCCTCATCATCGTTTAACAAGCTAATATTGTGTATGACATCTACTTTGTGAACATTTAACAAATGCTCATCTCTAGTTGTTATTATTATTCGGCTTCCATCGCCAAACCAATCATGTGATCCAGCTAATGCTTTTAGTTGGTCAAAGTGATCGACATCATCAAGAACAATCAAGACCTTTCTATGGCACAACCTATCCCTTATCATGCATCTTCCTTCTTCAACTCTATGCACTTCCATTTCTTTTTGTTTCAACACTTTTAAAAGAATTTTTTCTTGTAACTTTTGCAAACCGTACTTTCTTGATTCGTCTCGAATGTTTTCAACAAAGCAAGAACCATCAAAGTTGCTAGAAATATCACTATAAACATAAGATGCAAGAGTAGTTTTACCACCACCCCCAACCCCCCATATCCCAATCATGCGCACACCACATGAGTCAATTTGTAACTTTGATTTAAATTCTTGCACACGAGCCTCTATTCCAATCAGGTTTTCATTTGCATTTGAAGTTGCTAGATGCAACCTATGTGAAATTGTGTCAACAATTTCTTTGATGCCTTGTGCTTCATGCCTAAAAATTCAATATACAAGGATAATTAGTATATGCACGGATTGACAAAAGAGATCATTTGTTTTATGCTCCATGAAATAATGAAAAAGCATAACAACCCTTTATATATCACATTCAAAGTAGAATTCATAAAATTAATATCACAAGTAGTTTGTAAGTTGTAACAATTCTCTCAGGGAAGATCAAATTGTTTCGAATATGAAAAAGTAAAGCAAGATAATTTTGTGGTTGTAGCTTGAAATGACATGTTAAGTACAATACAGAATTAGAATTAGACCTCAATGAAATCCATCAGAACTTATTTTCAGCTTATCCGGAATCCTATATAGGACTTGGGAATCGTGTAACATACAAATTTCGTAATATACTCAAACTTGTATTTGTCATATAGAAAAAGAGACTGAAGTTTAAAATGTTAATGGGAGCCTAAGCCTACTAGCATAAGAAACCACGTCTAGACTCTAGTAAAAGTATTTCATAATCTTCTACCAGTTTATATTCCTCATATGCATGTCAAACAAAAAGCTAAATAGCCTCAACTTGTGACAATGTCTACTTTATGATGTCTTAGCACAGTCATGGCGATTATTATTCAACACTAGTCACCAAACAGATCAACTGACCTAGTCAAAGCCTCTGTTTATCCAATTATTCATCATCTAGAATAATTAGTACAACTGTATAAAAAGCTTATAACGCTTTAAGTATAAATGTACTGTGGAGCACACATATCTTAAGCATAAAAGGTGAAAAAACACAGAAGAACATTACCCGTTGGCTATTTGCTTGGTTTCCCATCCAGAAAGGTTACTTGCATCCACTAGTGCTTTTCTCCAAGATCCAACCTTATCATTGTTCTCTAACTCATGTTTGAAAAATGCTTTTCCATAATTCTGTTTTTGTTTTCGTACAGAAGAGGGATCCATGTCATAAAATATGGGCATTACTGTTAGGCCTTTTGTATCCTTGCATTTCATGATATATGCAAGTTCATCTAAGCACCATGAAGAATCTGCATAATTTTTAGAGAATACAATGATGGCAATCTGTGATTCTTCGATAGCCTTCATAAGGGTAGGACCGATTGATTCTCCCTGGGGAAGTGTTTCATCGTCCTTGTAAGTGTAGATCCCGTGTTGTACAAGAGCTGTGTACAAATGATCCACAAAAGTCTTACGCGTGTCTTCCCCTCTAAAGCTAAGAAAAACATGGTATTTCCACAGAGGAGTAGAAAAGGCAAGAGCAGAAGGAGAAGATGATGAAGATGCCATCAATGTGTTTTAACTTCCAAGATCACCACCTTCTGATGTTGAGATAAATGTCAGGGGTTTTACCACCTCAATGAAATGACCTATATCGAGAAAAAGAAAGAGAGAGACTTGAATTTCCAAGAAATTCCCATTTTACAAAAAGCTCAAGAAGAAATTGCTACTTTACCAAAAGCTAATGAAATATCTCATCACCACATATTTATAAAGGCAGTTGTATTCACATTCATGATATGTTGTCACAAAATATAGGTTAAACTGCAAAAATAGTCCTACGATTTGGCATCTTTCTGGTTTTGGTCCTTAAAAAATTATTTTTTCTATAATCAGTTAAACTTTATCAATCGACTCTGTGACTCTATCACTATATTAGTGCCCTTACATTTTTATAATCAGTTAAATCTTCATCATCTTCTTTGTATTATTTTGTTCAAAAACCCACCACCCTTCTGTCGCGGGCCTTTATCATCATCGAGAACCCAACCACCACCGCTACTTCTAACTTCTCCCCTGTATTTACAATAACTAACCAAGTATTTTGACCCTCCAACTTCTATCTCCGAATTTGCTCTTCAGCTATCGAATCCGTGTGAAAGAAATTGAACATTATAATTTGACAGAGATTTCAAATGGTAGTAGTACTAGTACCTTCTCTGCAGGTCCTGATTTTACTACTTCCATAACACTACGATGCCCTTGAATATCGATATCACTTCTTCAATTTTAAACCCTATGTTCGACAGATTAAAGGACTGTATCGATCCTCCAAAACCCCCATGAAAACTCTGTTCTTCTTCTCCACCATCATGATTAATTGTTCTTCCTCCCCACGAAACCCCTGCGTCGTACTCTTAAACCCCATTTAATCACCCTCACCAGCCTCTGATACCGGATCCAGCCCTACCCTTTTGGAAACCTCGAACAATCTCGTACAAAATGGAAGAGGAAGTTTATGCACGTCAATAATGTTGTACGTAATTTAGGTTCTTTAAAGTGAATCGGATGCTTGAAAATCTTTTACATCAATGTGAACTGGATGTCCTAAGCTGCCCAGACCCAGTCAACACATTGGTCAATATGGTCGATCATTCAAGCCCTATCATTTGAAACGGGCATAAAAATTTCATGGGTCATGTAATTTGGATGATGAATTAAAAGGTATTATATTTTTTTGATTTGTACAAATTTTAATTATTGAAATTTTTTTTTTCATATTTTTTCATTGAACTTGTAAACTATTCAAAATATATCATTATTACTTGCTATAAGAGAGTTAGCCGGTTTCTTCTGATATATTTGGTAGCTCCGACGAGACTCCGGTCGTCTTCTTCGACAAGTCTCCGACCATAAATCTAAAATAATTTAATTTTTTAATTTTAGATCAACAAAAAACACACAATACTTCATCTCCAACCTAGAAATCTACAACAAACATGAACTCAAGAAAATAAATCTAAAAAACAAAGACAAACCCAGAAATCAAAGTTGTGTTCTTGAACGGAAATGGAAAATCGAACACCCTACAAAATCGAAACATCCTACAAAAACTTCATTTTGTGCTTTAGCTTGAAGATCAAACACCCTACACTTAAAAATCGTTTTTAGAAAGAGAAATAATGATGTGTGTTCTTGAGTTTGAACCAAAAGAACATGAAGATGAATGATTTATTTTGGGTTTGAGTTTTTTGACTTTGCAAATCGAACACCTATACACTCACACACAAATCTTCATTAGATCTGCAAATCGGAATCCTTCAAATCTGCAAATCTGGAAGGAAACCTCAACAAACTCGCTGGTCTCAGATCCCTAAACTCATTTGATTCCTTCAAAGAAACCCTCAGTTGTACGCATTTTCAGCCTCCAGAAGGAATCGATGAACATGCTGGTTGCGTCTAGTATGGTTGCCATGATAGAGATGATGCATGATAGTGGTATCAGGAGTAGGAGTACCAGAAATCAAAGGGTAAATTCGATTTTAGAGGGAGTTTGTTTTGTGGTTTCTTGTTTGATGCATCTTCTTCAAGCTCCATTTTATATATATATATATATATATATATATATATATATATATATATTGGGATTTTACAGTTTTCAAGATTGAGAAAAAAGGTGGGTCGTCTTCAAGAGCAACAACTATAAATCCGATTAAGAAATTCAAGATGGGTTTAAAAATCATCGGAAAACACATGTGTACTGGAGAAGATGACTGGAGTATCACTATATCTGCTAAATATGTTGGAAATCGGCTAAACCTACTATAGTAGGTCATAAGGGTGTTTTTGAATAGTTCAACAAGTTCAATAGGAAAATATGGACAAAAAAATCAACGATTAAATGTGTACAAACTAAAAAATATGTTACTCTTTTAAGTCATTATCTCAATTTATAATCGAAATTTTGAAAAACTAAAATAAGATAAGTATAAGTTTCGATGCCAAATTAGATACAAGCTTGGAGCCTAGGCCCTAGAGGTAAACATGTTAGTTTCAACATTCAACATTCAATCACGGCGTCCCAACAATTAGAAAAATAAATAAATAAATAAAAATCTTTGGTATAAACGATTTTATCACTCTCAAAGTTTAAACATCTCAGTTTCGTTTTGACTAGATAAGTCAACTATAAGTTTTTTGTTTGTTTTATATGTGCATCTCAAATTTGATAATAGGTTGTTAGGAATTATGTTTGATTTGTTCTCTCTTTACCGATTTGGTCATTGGTGTAATAACATTGGGAAGTTTAAGTTTATTGAATTTATCTTACTATTGTTCATTTGTTTGGAAACTTTAAATAATTGATAATGTGATATATATGTGGTTTCTTAATTCTCCCAACTCGTACTATGGTGAAAATTAGATTTTTAATTGTGATTTCTTAAATATTGTTTTTAATTTTTAATTTGTATTTAGTTTTTGGTCTTTTATTCTACACACGTACCAAAAAAGTGTATGCTAAATATTTTTACTTCTTACCGTGAATTTTTTTTAGTACTAACTATTTTTTTAATGTGATTTCCCAAAGTTCTTTGTCCAATTATATTAAGTCATCCAACAATGGATAGTTTTATTTAGGATTGTGGATTTTTGTTATTTATTTCTCATTTATATTTAATACAATGATTATCTTTATGTTTTAATTTCAATTATTTTTTTTTCTTTTATGTTTTAGTTTTTACAATTTTACTGATTTTTGAAGGTTAACTCTTGAAGGATATATATAAAACACACATACACACAAAATAAAAATTAAAAAAAAAAAAAAAAAAAAAAAAAAAAAAAAAAAAAAACTACATATTAACTGAACTATCGATAATTCTAAATTTCTAGCATTAATGTGTTTTCCTTTCTTACTAGTTATTTACTTTATCATATCTGTTTATAAAATATTGCAATGTTTCTTAAAATCCATTCAAATGAGTGGAATTTTATAAATGGTGTGAATATAAGAGAGTTGTGGACCTTTTTCTTTTTCCTTTTGCATTTGGCCCAAAATATGCTTTGACCAGATGGTAATTCCAATTTTAGAAACAAAAAAATTTAGATCAATCAACATATATTACATCTAGATCAAGGTTAAAAATATATACAAAGCTCATCCCAAGATGCAACCTTGGCTTGAAGCTTAGCTATTATATATTATCCCAAGCATCTAAAGTAACATCTATACATGATGAAAGATTTTGCATTTATAATGCAGTTTATTTATATACCATAAAGGATAAAAAATATGGATACAACAACATGGAATCAGAGTGAGCTCGGATTGTCCATCAATTATTTATCGAGCAATTTACGTGCACGTGTGTTTGCACCTTTGACTCGTGAGTTTATCTCATCGACATCCTCCGAAAGATCATCAAGAGCCTTGTTTTGCCTATGTTCCAAGAAAACAGCTCATGAACAACAAACTCAAAACAATACACATGTTTTATATTTTCAGTACATATATTAAATGTAACAAATATTTATCATATTTTTTTTTCAAAATTTTATAAGGGTAAATGACCAAAACGCCCTTTATTTTCTACATATTTTACAAAACTTACATGAAGCCCAAACTGTAATTAGGAGTAAGGGCCTATCCATGTGGTTTGGTTTAATTAGTCAAGAGCAAGATAAATCGTATACAGTTTAATTAACTTTTCAAAATGTTATCCCTTAATTTGCACAACCTAAAGGAAGGGTTCAAAACCTAAAAAGTTAAAACACACATAAAGATAGTGTTGGTGTTCCATAATTTACCCATGTAGTGGGCTTGGGCCTGAACCTGGGCCTAGGCCTAGATAATTTTCACTTATTTGCCAACTTTTTCATTTTATTCCAAAAAATTAGAAGAAAAATAAAAACAAACCTGTCGAGCTCAGATCCCATCTCGGTAGCCATTCCTTTCAAATCACCCAATATATCACTTAAATCATCCAACGCCTCGTCTTGCTTTTCCTTTTCCACCTGAATTTTTTTTTTTTTTTTTTTAAAGTAAAGATTACATAAAATACAACAATAATAGCATATTGTTACAAATGGTGGCAACATATATATACCTCAACTTTCTGCATGGCACTCTTTGCTTCACCATGACCTTTCTTGTTGTCCTTCTTCCCCTTGTGTCCTTGTTCCAAACCCAACTTCTCTCTTTGCTCCTTACTTGCTTTCTTATCTCCTTTTCCATTATCTAGCAAAACACAATATACTCAATTAAGATGAAATCAATAAAACTTCATAAAAATATTAATTAGACTAATTGGATTTAAATTATAAACCTATTGGCTCTGGCCCTTTAATTTCCTTCCCCTTCTTTGGCTTCCATGTCATGGAAAACATGCCTCCAAGGCTTCCTAATATCTTTTCACCCTGTAAAAACACATTTATGATCAAGAAACACATTCTTTAATTGTGTTGACTCTATATCGAAGTAGATTGTAGTATTCAAATAGAAGAAAACTTACCCTACTCAAATCTTTTTCCATTTCAGCAGCCTTCTCATGGGTCCTGTGAATCTGCTCTCCTTGAGCATGTAAAGTATCAAGCGTCTTTCCAGCATCCGATTTAATATCTTCTGCAATCTTCAAGGCATTGTTTACACTTTTTGTAGTTTCTTGAGCCTGATCCACAGCATAATGCTCTAATTCCTGATTAGACATGCCATCGAGCTCAGCTTTACTTTTTTTCTTGATTGTTGTTTTCTTTTTCCCGAAGAAGTCATCATCATCGTCGTCATCGTCAATAGGGTTACTTTTTCCTGGGGGTGCAGAAGTCTTTTTTGCAGCTTCTTTCTTATCTGCTTGTTTCTTATCTGTTTCTTTTTTGTCTGTTTCTTTTTTATCTGCTTCGGTTTCTGCAGGTTTAGCAGCAGGAGGAGGCGCTCTTCTAAAGAACATGTTTGTAGATTAGATTATACCTAGACTAAACCTAGATTGTTCAGCAATAATACCTGAATTTGAGAAAAAAAAATATGTCAATTCTGGACTTGAAATAACAATCTGATTGTGTTTAAACGATTAACAAGTATATATATCAGCCACTTTTGAGGAACTAGCGTTGAATTAAACAAATGTTCATTGAATTCAATATTTTGCACGATTGCATGAGAATAAGCACACGTATCAAACAGAATAAACAAAAAAATTCACCTGACCAATGTACATAAACGAGGAACAATTACCCTCCGGTCGACCAAATTTATTTTCCTTTATTCTAATGGTGGAGGGAGAGAAAACGGGGAAGAAGAGTCTTCTCTCCAATATACAGATTAATCGACCGATGAAATGAGAGATTGTATTTTGAAATTTGGTGGTTTTGAGGTTGACATTAATCGCTCTAAAATCACAGACATGATTGAGTGGCATTGCGAAATTTCGTGCTGGTTTTTGCAAAATTGTTTGTTCCGCCATATTTAATTTCTTTTACGAAAATAATGCAAAGTAAAAAGAAAAATATATTCCGAATAATAATATGATGTTATTAGTTTTTGAGAAAATTGCAAAATAGCCCTTGGGCTTGGGATATGTACTCAATTTCATATAGTAAATATCAACATTGCACGTTCCGTCCTTTTAGACTAGTTGTATTGTGATTTTGGTCCTGGGTCTACCGCTGCGATTGTGGGACGAAAGGAATTTCTCCCTCATAGCTAAGAGATACGGTAGAGTTGTCTCCCCCTTCAACGGAATTACACAACGGAGAGATTATTCAATCACTACTAATCCGTCGCTAAACAAGTTTTCCGACGGAATTCGTTCTGTCGTAAAAAGCCCCGTGGGTAATTATTTGTGACGGAATACCGACGGAATTTCCGACAGATTTCCGACGGACAACGACGTCCATTTGTCGGACCTCTTTGACCAAATTAACGACGCAATAACTACGGAGTACCAACGGATACTGTTTGTGACGGATTACCGACGAAAACTTCTTTGTAACGGATTACCGACGGATAGTTTTAGTCACGGGTTACCGACGGAACGTTAGTTACCGACGGATAGTTTTAGTGACGGATTACCGACGGAACAATAAGTGACGGTTTACCGACAGAACCGTAAGTGACGGATTACCGACGGAATCATAAGTAACGGGTTACCGACGGATTGTTTTTGTGACGGATTTCTGACGGATGTTCTTACTTTTCGTTTGTGACTATTCAGTCACTACTCCGTCGGTAAAATGATTTTTTAAAAAGAAAAAATAATTAAAAAAAAATCCAATTTTTATCCACATAAATGCAAAAACTAAACTGAAGTGAATACATAAAAAAGAAATACGATAAAGTGTCACAAAATTTGATCACACCACATACGATTACCATATTTAATTAACCGTCTAACAAGACACTAATTAGTATTCCAAAATACCTAATTAAACATCATACTTCGGATGTGATTACCAATTGTTTGAACATAACTAAAAAGTGTCACAAAATATGATTACCAATATTTTAGATTAGAAACATAAACTAGTTTCTTTGTGGTGGATTTCCGGAGAAATTGTTTTGCTTGAAAAAATCCGTCATTTGTGCTTCAAGCAAGGCATGCTTTTTTCGCATCTCCTCCATTTCCAATTCCCTTTGTGCGTCTCGTGCTTCCCTTTGTGCTTCAGCTTCCCGCATGCTAGCCATTTCATTGCGCAATCTTTCTACCTAAAAATGGTAAGACAAACATAAATAATTAATAAAACCATTATAGCAATGTACTTTAATAACAACATATTTTCATTTTTTATCCATTATAGCAATCAAAGTACTCATTATAACATGCTATACTTTTTGTCCATTATATCAACGTACTCATAATAACAACTTACTTTGAGTTTTTTTATCCATTATAGCAATCAATTTAATCCATAATAACAACATACTATACTTTTTATCCATTATAGCAACGTATTCATAATAACAACATACTTCGATTTTTTTACCCATTATAGTAATCAAATACTCATAATAACAATATACTATACCTTTTATCCATTATAGAAACATATACAAAATAACAACATATTTTGACTTTTTTACCCATTATAGTAATCAAAGTACTCATAATAACAACACACTACACTTTTTACCCATTATAGCAATATACTAATAATAACATACTATACTTTTTATTCATTATAGTAATGTACTAATAAAAAGAACATACCTCTTCATTTTGCACATAATGTGAGCTGTCACCCCCCACAGATAGTGACCCCGTAAACAAAAACTGACTATCGGCAGTCCTAATCCCATACATACGACCCTTGTGGGTCCCTTTCTGTCTCTGCAACTGTGACATGTTCCATACATCAACATCGTGCACATGCTTTGTGGGATCATCTCCATATTTCTCACTCAGTCCCCTCATATATGAATCCTATAATTTACCAAAATAACATCATTGTGATTATAACAAAAATTGAGACTATCAAAATATAGAAATGATAAAGTTAACTTACATGTGCCTGACGTGCAGTCTCTGAGCAAAAGTGCAAATTCGAACGATCACCTTCAAAATATCTTTTCTTTGATTCCTTATCAAGACGGGTCTTCATAAACAGATCCAACCATGATGGATCTTTACCTGTTGCTTCTTTCTACATAAACGACACAATATAGTTGTAGTTAATGTTAAGAAAAGTAGATTAGTAAGCTTTATAACTTCAATTATTTACCAGTTTCCTGCGATGGTCAGCATTTCCAATGCTCCCGCCTGTGTGCCTCCCAGTCTTCCCATTAGCATCGGGAGTGTTGCGGTTTTCCTTTGCACATGCAGATATGTTTTTCCACTTAGGAGTGTTCCAATACTGTAAATAAAATATATCTATAATAATATAACAAGGAATAAAAGTCAACAAAAACAAAAATAATGTATTGAATCCCTTACAGCACATAAGTTTTTCCAAACATTCTCTGGGATGTATTGGGGATGGAAATTTTCTAAGATGTGAAAAGATTCATTCACATCTTCGATATGGTGGCCACCTTGTTCTGCTAGAATGACTGAAGCATCCCTAGCGTCCCTCATCCGGTCACGGTAGCGCTCCTTCAAAATATTCTCAAAGCCTTGGTAGATCCTCTCCTCTTCTGTCGGAGACCACCGATACAAGGTCAGAAGAAAAAAAATGTTAAGTCAAATATCCAAAATAAAACAAATGAGCATAAGATATATTAATAAATACTTAATATATTACCCGGAAACGCTCAAATATCTGTCTGCGTAACTCCAATGGGATCTTTGAAAAGACAGGCCACGGGTGATCTAGTTTCTCCCAGAATATATTCATAATTGCCCTATGGACACGAGAATCACCAAACCTGCAATATTGAAATATATATATATATATATATATATATATATATATATATATATATATATATATATATATATATATAAGTATAATCATAACATCAATAATCATAAATATACAATATAAAAACACTAACGCGTAGCCGTTTCGGGTGATAAATGGCAATGTAGACTCATGTGAAGCACCCACGGTAGAGCCATAGCGAATAATTTTTCATGAATCCACGGTCAATAAGATGGTTTCTAACCAATGTTCTCGCTTTGTATAAACGATTTTTGCATTTTGTACACGGACATCGAATTTCAAAAATCTCCTCCCCGTTGTTAATGGTACATTGGATGTTCGTTGCATTCGCATAAGCAAATTCCAAGAAATGTTTGACATATCGTGGCCATTCCGGATTAAATATACCATCAATAAGTCTTTTTGTGTACATCCATTCTCGATTAGACAACATTCTGATCTATAACTATAATATGACATTATCAAAACATCTAACCATTTCACAAAAATCTCACAAATTAACATCTATGTAATATTTCATAAAAATTACCTAAAACCTAACATTTAACCAAAAAATCAACAATATCATAACATCAAACAAACTAAAACTTAACTAGCATTTATCATTTAGCTAACAATCTTACATTTCACAAACTTTATTAAAAATTTAACCTAAAACCTAACATTTAACCAAAGAAATCAACATTATAGCAATATAATGCAAAATTTTGTATAAACAAGGTTCAATACACGTTCGAAACTACCAACCCAAACAACCAAGTACTAGCATAAAGCACATAATATACTTAACTATTTTTTATTATAGTAATGAATTAGTAATTGAGGCTGCTAAATACATGTTGGCTCTTCTTTTAACATCCTCTAACCTCATTGGTTGGAAACCATGAAATTAAGATACAAGAGAGAGTGAGAAGAAACGCTTGAAGGTGGGAAAAAAAACTTGAACCAGTAGTAATTACATAAACAAAAACAAAAAAACCAAAAAAAAATCTAGGGTTTACCTTTGTTGGAGAAGAACAAATCGAGCAAGAGTGTGGGTGACCGGAGCTAAGAAGAGCAGCGACCTACGCCAATGTCGACGGCGGCAGCGCCGAGAAGAAGGCTCCGGTGATCGCCAAAAAGGAAGAAAGGGCGGTCTCCAGTCGACCAAGGCAGTAGCGGGAGAAACGGGGAAAAGGACGCTAATTGTTTGCTCTGTGAAGTCTTTGTAATATAATAAAAAGGGGTTTTTTTAGTCTGATATATGAAGGGTGGGTAAATTAAACCATGCGTCGGAAATCTGTCACAATATAAAAAATCAATATTAAAAGTCATTTGCTGGTTTCGAACTCACGACAAAGATGCACAGGTCAAAGTTCTTCCATTAGTCTATAAAACACTCTTGTTTAAAATCTCCTTTTAAAATATTTGTAATCTTCTACACAGGTATATGATTCAGCCGATCAAATCTTATTTTTTAATTATATTTTCTAAATCATAACACTAATAAATTAAAATTCAAATATTCTCTAATTTTATTTCTTAATTATATTTAACTTCTTTTATTTAATAATATTTTAGACAAATCCGTTGCTTTTTACTATTTATTTTTTATGATTTATTTTTCTCACACACATATAATACATCAATAACTACATATTTTATAAGTTATAGCTAAAATACACATACGTACATCCATGTACACCTTCGAGACCGACGTTTCAATTCTAATTTTCAAGTTTTCGGGGACCAAACATGGTTTTCATCGCTATAAATTTTATTACACCTTTTTTTTAAACCAATTAATACACATTGAACAAATTATAGTAAATTTAGTACATACAATACACCATCACGATCCCATGTATTAATATGTATTAGATGTTAAAGCATAAGATCTTTAGCGGGGCTCCGATAGTGCGCACGGATATTCGGATATGTATATAAGCTATAATTTCGTAAATATACAATAATTGATGTATAATATATGTGTGAGAAAAAATAAGCACAAAAAATGACGTATGTTGCTCGAAATGTCAAAAGTTAGACAGGTCCGTCGGAAATCCGTCGGTAAGTACCGACGTATTAGTGACGAAAATTCATCAGCCGTCGCTAATCCGTCGGTAATTACCGACGAATTTCCGACGGATCTTTTCTAATTTCCAACTTTTCGAGCACCATACGTCGTTTTTTCCGATTTACTTTTCTCACACACATATAATACATCAATAACTACATATTTTTATAAGTTATAGCTAAAATACACATACGTACACCCATGTCCACCTTCGAGACCGTCATTTCAATTCTAATTTTCAAGTTTTCGGGGACCAAACATGGTTTTTATCGCTATAAATTTTATTACACCTTTGTTTTACACCAATTAATACACATTGAACAAATTATAGTAAATTTAGTATATACAATACACCATCACGATCCCATGTATTAATATGTATTAGATGTTAAAGCATAAGATCTTTAGCGGGGCTCCGATAGTGTGCACGGATATTCGTATATGTATATCAACTATAATTTCGAAATTATACAATAATTGATGTATAATATATGTGTGAGAAAAAATAAGCACAAAAAACGACGTACGGTGCTCGAAATGTCAAAAGTTAGAAAGGTCTGTCGGAAAGCCGTCGGTAAATACCGACGGATTAGTGACGGAAATTCACGAGCTGTCACTAATCCGTCGGTAATTACCGACGAATTTCCGACGGATCTTTTCTAATTTTTGACTTTTCGAGCATCATACGTCGCTTTTTCCGATTTATTTTTCTCACACACATATAATACATCAATAACTACATATTTTATAAGTTATAGCTAAAATACACATACGTACACCCATATACACCTTCGAGACCGACGTTTCAATTCTAATTTTCAAGTTTTCGGGGACCAAACATCGTTTTTATCGCTATAAATTTTATTACAACTTTGTTTTACACCAATTAATACACATTGAACAAATTATAGTAAATTTAATACATGCAATACATGCACCATCTCGATCCCCATGTATTAGATGTTAAAGCATAAGATCTTTAGCGGGGCTCCGATAGTGCACATGGATATTCGTATATGTATATCAGCTATAATTTCGTAATTATACAATAATTGATGTATAATATATGTGTGAGAAAAAATAAGCACAAAAAACGACGTACGGTGCTCGAAATGTCGAAAGTTTGACAGGTCCGTTGGAAAGCCGTCGGTAAATACCGACGGATTAGTGACGGAAATTCACGAGCCGTCGCTAATCCGTCGGTAATTACCGACAAATTTCCGACGGATCTTTTCTAATTTCTGACTTTTCAAGCACCATACGTCATTTTTTCCGATTTATTTTTCTCACACACATATAATACATCAATAACTACATATTTTATAAGTTATAGCTAAAATACACATACGTACACCCATATACACCATCGAGATCGACGTTTCAATTATAATTTTCAAGTTTTCGGGGACCAACATGGTTTTTATCGCTATAAATTTTATTACAACTTTGTTTTACACCAATTAATATACATTGAACAAATTATAGTAAATTTAATACATACAATACATGCACCATCACGATCCCATGTATTAGATGTTAAAGCATAAGATCTTTAGCGGGGCTCCGATAGTGCACATGGATATTCGTATATGTATATCAGCTATAATTTCGTAATTATACAATAATTGATGTATAATATATGTGTGAGAAAAAATAAGCACAAAAAATGACGTATGGTGCTCGAAATGTCAAAAGTTAGACAGGTCCGTCGGAAAGCCGTCGGTAAGTACCGACGGATTAGTGACGGAAATTTGTGAGCCGTCGCTAATCCGTCGGTAATTACTGACGAATTTCCGACGGATCTTTTCTAATTTCCGACTTTTCGAGCACCATACGTCGTTTTTTCCGATTTATTTTTCTCACACACATATAATACATCAATAACTAAATATTTTATAAGTTATAACTAAAATACACATACATACACCCATATACACCTTCGAGACCGACGTTTCAATTCTAATTTTTAAGTTTTCGGGGACCAAACATGGTTTTTATCACTATAAATTTTATTACACCTTTGTTTTACACCAATTAATACACATTGAACAAATTATAGTAAATTTAATACATACAATACACCATCACGATCCCATGTATTAATATTTATTAGATGTTAAAGCATAAGATCTTTAGCGGGGCTCCGATAGTGCGCACGGATATCGTATATGTATATTAGCTATAATTTCGTAAATATACAACAATTGATGTATAATATACGTGTGAGAAAAAATAAGCACAAAAAATGACGTATGTTGCTCGAAATGTCAAAAGTTAGACAGGTCCGTCGTAAATCCGTCGGTAAATACCAACGAACTAGTGACGGAATCTCATCCGCCCAAGTCTAGTATTTCGTTTAAATTCCGTCGGAAATCCATCAGTGACTACCAATGGATTTCCGACGGAATTTATTTCCGTTGCTATTTTGTCAGTATTCCGTCACTAATATTAGGGTTTTTATTTTTGTCACGATTCCGTCGGAAATCCGTCAGTGACTACCAACGGATTTCCGACGGAATTTATTTCCGTTGCTATTTTGTCAGTATTCCGTCACTAATATTAGGGTTTTTATTTTTGTCACGATTCCGTCGGAATTTCGTCACTAATTTCCGACGGAAAATTTCCGTCACTAATTTC